TGCTGTGGTCGCTGCTTGTTGTCCCCCATCGTTGTTGTCGTCGTCGTCATAATCTTCCTGTTCATCATCATCAGTCACTACTATTAGTGTACTTGTTGCTACTGTTGTTGCTGTGCACCTCTGTTGGGTCTCTGTAAATAATGTTATAAGGAGTTCGGTCTTGATTGCTCTATATGAAGTGTCCTGAGATAACTTCTGTGATGAATTGGCGCTATACAAATAAAATTGAATTGAATTAAAATTGAAATCCATCAATATATGCATGTTTATTATAATTTTTGACATAACACAAAAGCACCTGGTAACTCAAACTTGACATCAAAAAACACTTTTATGTCATGTTTTGTGTCACTTAACACACCCCAAATTCCACTGAACACAGTTTTATGACATTGCATCTTCGACGCAGTTGACTGACCTGCTTCTAACTGATTGATTTCAATTTAATTTAGGTTAACAGATAAACACAGATACTTAAGGGATGGTTTCATTGATGATTATTTCATCACACAGTTTCGCATCTGCCCTCTGGCAGGCTCATATTAGGCAAGTCTCTTGACATTGACAATCAATCAATATGACAAAGGGCAACCTGTGTAGAAGAAGAAGAAGAAGAAGAAGAAGAAGAAGCAGGAGGAAAATGTTTTTACAAATTAATTTACCTCAACAAAGTCAAAATGGCAGGAGCCTCCCTCGACATCAAAAGACAGGAAGTTGAGGGTGACCACATAGCCCTCCGGCTGGTTAATGACCCACTCACAGTCCTTGTTGTGTGGATAGGCGTTGGGGTGATAGGGAGAGTGTAACTGCCCAGTTCCAGACAAAGTACCTCCACAAGCTGGGTAAAAGGAGGATTAAACGTTGGTCAGTGGCTAATGGAATGTAATCTATGGATTCAAATCTTTGCCTGGATCTGTGATAATGCCTTCATCATGCATCATTTACTGGTGTTCCTCCATTTTCCCATCAAACATTACTCGAACAAAAATTGCACAAATCTCGCCCTCCCTTCATTTTGATCTGGCACCCCTAACTGATAATCTTTGCATTGTGCACTCGTATGCATGACAAATTTGAGAATCTTGAGGCTGCATTTAGATTTCAATGGCTTTCATTAAGATTGTCCATGACCTGACAACTTTCATTGAGAAACTCGTCAGCAATTTTAGCCTAGACCCTAGCATTGTAGACCGGGGTTCTTTACTTCCTCACTAACACAGCCAGTCTACAGTTGTATGCGATGCAAAGTTTGGCCAGTCCTTGACAAATAACACATTTTGGTCATTTTTACACTGAAAAGATGCAAACCCAGCCTCTTGAGGGTATGAAACATAGAACACAATATTGGCAGTAAACATTAATGCATTGTGTCATTTTCTTTCATGAATTTAACAAAATAAACAAAACAAAAAACATTGTGGCATAAGTAAGTAAGTAAAGCTTTATTTAGCACTTTTTTAATACAGAGTTACAAAGTGCTTCACAAACAAACGAATAAAAATATAAGGAGTGGAATGGGAAACAAGGAGATCTGAAAAGTAACTGGGGGCAAGGTCATAAAGTACCTTATATGTAATCAGAAAATTAAGAAACATCCAGTCTTTGGTGGCAGCTAAGCAGCCATGGAGAAAGGACAATTGATTTAGATAAAAAATCAAGGGCTGATGTACACAAATTGTTAAACCAGCTAACTTGATCATTAATATTGAAGAAGTGAAGAGGGGAATTGGCCAGACTCAAAAATGTGGCTGCTGACTGATTATTTAAGACGCAAGAGTGGATTATACGTTTCTGGGATGGTGAAGCAGTTGTAAAATGTGTATCAAAAGTAATACATTTGTGGTCAGAGACAAAATCATGCATATTCAGGGAACTAAGAGACAGATCCAGAGTAAAAACTAAGTCAAGGGTGTGCCCACGGTTATGTGTAGGGCCTGAGACGTGCTGCACAAGGTCAAAAAATTCACAAATGTTTAAAAAGTCACTAGCTGTAATGGCCCAATCAAATTTGAGCGCAAGAGAGGACAGTAGGTCAGAGAATTCAGTGAGGAAACCACTGCTGGAGTTGGAATTGGGGGGACGGTAAATGATTATACAGCATATTGGGTTTTCAGGCACAATAAAAGTTGTTTATCAGTTCTTGTATTTGGGGTTTCTTAACATTCCTCCTAGCATAAGGCTCCAAGTCCTGCAATATTCTTGGGGTGTCTTGCATGCACAGCTCTTTTAAGATCTGCCCACAATTTTCAATGATATTTAAGTCAGGGACTGTGAGGGCCATTCCAAAACCTTCAGCTTGCGTCTCTTGAGATAGTCCATAGTGGATTTCAAGGTACATTTAGTATCATTATCCTGTTGTAGAAGCTTTTCTCTTTTTGGCTTAAGCTTTTTTACAGAATGTGTGATGTTTGCTTCCAGGATTTTCTGGTATTTAGTGGAATCCTTTCTTCCCTCCACCCATGCAATGTGTCCTGTGCCAATGGCTGCAGCACAACCACGAAACATGATACATCCACCCCACTGCTTAATCGTCCTTCAGATTTTTTGCATTCCCATGGAGGTTTCAATTTGCCTTTTTGACCAGCATAGAAGCAGTACTCTCTGAGGGTATCCTTGGTCTTTCAGATCTCATCTTGACCTCCACAGTTCCCCTAAACTTTCATCTCTTAATTACATTTCAAACTGTGGAAACTGCAAGCTATGAAACAACGCTATGCTATCTTCTTTTAGCCATCTCCTGCATTGTTGACATCAGCGAGCATCATTAACTTTCATTTCTCGAGTCTTACATAGCTGCTTAGAGAAACCCATGGTTGGTGAGCACACAAGGTTTGAAGAGTCAGAGTATTTGTGATGGGCTGAAATTGGCACCAGCTTACATTTTCTAATGACATGCCAGGACTAAAGAGCTGATGAAAATCTGGGACCTTGTAAAAAGAGGGTTGATAACATGTGAGGGCTTGTGCATCTTACATATATGAATGGCTTTAGACCTGTACCAGTGGCAGCTTTTTTACTCAAGGCCGAGAAGGCAGGGTGGAAGGGGGGTTCTTTATGTTATCTCTTTCAAAATTCAGATTTCAGTCCTGACTTTTGTAATTTGGTGAAGGTATCTTCTACTCCAACCCGAGAGAGAGAGTCAAATGGGCCTTCTGCCTCTCTAGAGCAGTGTTTCTCAAACTTTTTTGGATCAAGTACCACTTAGCCAGTAAAAAAAATCATGGATGACCTAACTCCCAAGTATCCTCCAAAACAATATAGGCCTACTTTAACAATATATATTACAACAGTTTTATAAATAGCATAGTACTACTACTCACTCATTGTCTCTGTTGCCATCTTAATGGGAAGAATATTGCTGTTTCTGCTGAGACATCAGTGAATCCAAACTAGAGAGTTTTAGTCTCATATCAGGGACCACATTGATCCAGTTGCGCTGCTTTGATTTCAGACCAACAAGTGTGGAAAATCCAACTTCACAGTTGTAGGTGGTTGGAAATGGCATCAGCAATTTCAGAGCACAGTCAACCAACTCAGGGTGCTCAGGTCGGATGTGGACCCAAAAGTCTGTCAAACATTTCTCTCTGAAAGATGTCTTAAGTGCCCCATCAGATGCAATGTCCACAAGGCTATCAACCTGTCTTGGTGGAAGCTTGGAACTGACCTGTTTGATGTGTGTTTTGTCTCCTGGTGATCAAGACGGACCACAATTCTGAGACAAGCAGCTTTAATTTTGTCCAGGTATGCCAATTTTGTTTTTTAAAAAGACGTGTGTTCATTGATTTGCTTTTGATTTTATTTACATTTTCATTTCACAGATTTGTCCAGTACTGCTTTGAGGCACTGGGGCATTTTTTTTTTTTTTTTTTGCCAGTTGTTCTCTCTAGTGATGATTTAAGTGTAACTTTTTATTATTTTTTTCAGGGCAGATTGGCATTGAGAGGGGATGATCTGGTTTCTTCTATATCCTATATTCTGTCCCGTAGCACGCAGATTAATATCTGCCTTGTAATATTGTACAAAAAAAATAATCGTTTACTTAAAAGATCTACCTCTTTGAACCGGCTCGTTCGCAACTGACACATCACTAGTTCTCTGTGAATGCAACAGTGTGTTGCCGTGATGGATGGTGCTACTGTGCGTACACAAGTTGCCAGTCAAAAATTGCCTCTCCTTTGGTGTTGGTCGGCAGGGAACGGCAAAAATGAAATCATCATGTACTCCACGAGTGTAAATGTACCTTACAAAACACAGCAGATGTGCCTCATTCCCAATATCAGTTGGCTCATCCAATTGTAGTAAGAAAAATGGGCTTTGGCGTAAACGTGTCATCAGCTGATCTTCTACATTTTCAGCCATGCATGTTATTCGCCGCTGGACAGAGGTACCCTGTTAATTTCAGCGCTTGCTTTCCCCCCAAATAATATGCTAGCCATGACCTTGGCAGGGTTTGACTAAATTCTCACCTACTGAATGAGGTTTCTAATTTTTTGCAATCAACAGTATGTAGCCTCTGTTCATATTTTCCCCAGGTGCAAAAAACTGTTAGGGCTCCTTTGTCATGTGTTTCTTAAGTCATTGCGTTTTCTCTCAAAAAATTGGCTGGGTTTCTCTCTTAAGCCACCGATCCATGATCTTTACAGCTAGATACTGTAAATGGTTAGAACACACTGATTTTTTACAGGAATCGTAAAACAGTGGTGTAGCAGTGGCTTAAAATAGTTGCAAACACCCAGCTACATTGCTAATGTCCGACAACACCGCCAACAACCAATTTTAATAATAATGTTTTAAATTTACTTACTAATTGGCTTAATTTTGAAAACAATACCTGCATGGTACTCCCTACTAAGATTTGTTGTCGCACACAGACAGTGAGAAACACTTAATTTAAAACAAATTTGCGGACCACTTGGGGTCACTGAAATGTCAAGACTGGCTAAACATTGGAAGGGAGCAGACCCGGAGCTGAGCTGGATCAAAATTGAACAGTAGCTAGTTAGCCCTTTCAAACCTTTGGATGCTGTCTCACATGGTTCAACTACTAATAGACATGATCACTCTTCAAACCCAATACTGGTATGGTGTGTCACACTCGAGACAATCATTTGCCTCTCTGGGTGGCTGGGTGGGTGGGAATTAATGGCTTATAAAAGGGATATACACAGTTGGGTACTGTATCTTTTACTCATTATTGCCCTAGGAGATATATTGTTAAACAAAACAGGCATCATGTATAATGCATACACAAAACATAAATAATGTCATATCATCTTTGTGTGTAAATGTGCGGAATCTCACCAACGGTGTAGACAGCCCTGAAACCAGCCCGGCTGACTGAGCTGTCGGACCTGAAGCGAATCCACAGGAAGTTGGAAGACGAGAGAATGGGAGCTGGCAGGGTGCTCCCACAGTATCTCCCGATCAGAGGATCGGTCTCTGTTCTGCCATCACGAACCTGGAAAGAAAGGGGATAGAAGAAGAAGCGGCAGGTAGGAAGAGGCTGTGTGAATATCGTCAATGAAAACAATGACAAAAAATATCCGCTTGTGAACTATTTTTCATAAAAGAAAGTATAGAGTGAGACTTCTAAAAACAAGAACAATGATTTAACGTCTTGCATTTTTAATGAATAAAAACTGCACAGCAATGTGAAAAATGGGCGAATAGAAAGAAGAAATAAATCAGGACATATGTTTGTGAGTCATAAACAAGTCCTACCTCCACATAGTCAAAAGTGCAGCTGGAGTGACTCTCCAGGTTCATATCAGTGAAGTTGAGGGACACTTTTTCACCCACTGGCAACCTGACCAAATAGACACACTGGTGGTTGTGGGCATAGTTGTTAGGCCAGTTAGGTGAGATGATGATGCCCTCACTTTCAGTGAAGATACCGCCACAACCAGGATCAGCTAAGACACAACACAAACCGGGGTAAATGGTGAATAGACTTGAACTTAAATGGACTAGTCTTCCAACCACTCAAAGAGCATCCCCCTTGCCTCACCTTTTAGTTCCAAGCATGTAGGAGTAAACTACGGTCACCACAATACTCGCAAAAAACACGGAAGGCCCTATGTTGCTGTGACAAGTGAATTTTTCCCATTGTGGGATTAATAAAGTTATCTATCTATCTAGTTTGAGTCAGATGAGCTTCTAAAACCTTGCTTTTGTATTTGAGCAGATTAAAAACGGTTGACATTATATGCCCATCCAAACGTACATCTGTTACAGTAAAATATGTACAGTGCAGGTGTGTTTACCAGCTTTTTTTTTTTGTTTTGTATCCAGTTTTGCAGGAATGCACTCTACACAATTATTGGTTTTGTTCTGGTGAAAAATCTACCAAATTTACATGTTTTCTGTGTAATAATCTGGTGGGAGTGTTCAAGTATTTTTTCGAATTTAAAATCCTCCTCACCTACAAAGCTCTTCATGGTCAGGCCCCTTCATATCTTAAAGAGCTCATAGTACCCTATTACACCTCTAGAACACTGCAATCTCTGAATGCAGGG